AAAATGGAAACGATCATAATGGGTTATATAGGGGTTATATAGGGTTCTATAAGGTTTAGGGGTACGTTCCGAGGTATCAGAACAGATGCTTATGGCAGGTAGAGATGCTTCGCGCAATCCAGGTCTTGCTTCTAATGCGTGATACACGCGGTAAGCCTTAAACCAACCATGCTAGGGGTCTGATAATGAATAAATGTGAGAAGCACCTTCCTGATATGTACCAGAACTCTGCAAGTGCTACTTCTGCTTCTTCCCTGGTGCTGCAGCGGCTAAAGCTACTGCGTGAGATCTCCCAGCATCTTGCTTTTTTGATGAACTCTGTCTAGACTGGACATGGCAAATGCCTGCTGGAGGACAAGTCATGGCGAATGTAACTGAAACTCTGCGGCTATTTATGCGTACCCCACGCCTGCTCCTCGCACGTATAGGCATTGGACAGAAAGTTGTCCAGAACGAAGAACGGTGAGCACATCTGCAATCTTTCCTAAGAATGCCAGCTTCCATGCAAATACTGGTACTAATAATACTATTCATGACAGGAAAATAATGATAGTCATAAAAACAGAAACAGCAACAAGGTAGGGTTCTACATTGTTTAGGGAGTAGGATGCATGCTGTACATTGGGCCACTCCTAGGCCCCCTGGAGCGAACTCTGTCGCCCCGCTAAGCAGTCCTTTGCAAGGGCCGACTCCGAGTGTTTTTCAGGCCCCGGGGCCATAGATTCCAAAAGCCAGGTCAAGTCATTTGTTTGAACTGAGAGTTGAGCGGCTTCATCCAGCGGCAAGAGTGCGGCAGCAGTGTTTCTGATATGACGTCTTTTCAACGTAGTCCCCACACAAGTGATACAAGCTCCGGCTTCGTTGCTGGGTAACAGACCGTATTGCCAGTTTAGCTAACAGAGAGGCACGCTGTGGAAGGCTCGGTGAAGTGGAGTTGAAGGGAAGACATATAGTATATTATAGTCTATTATAGTATAGTATACTATATTATCGTATAGCAGCCCTACGCTACTTTGGACGGATGAAAACTTCCTCCACCTTGGCCGGTAAGGATCATCAAGCCCTGGATGCGTTTGAGATGTTTCAAGTGGCTCTGACCTTTCACCTGCCAAAGTGCGGCCACACGTCGTGTTTGCGTTGCCTACAAACACAGTCAGCAATAAACGAAACCCTTAAACCTTATAAACCCTATGTAAATAGTAGCTTCCATTTTCTTTTCCATTATCCCTATATAAGTCTATATAACCCCAATATAATCCAAACATAATCCCCAATATACTCCCAATAAAATGACAAAGCAAACTCAGAGCCACACTCCCTAGAACCCTGAACTACGAGCTGTGGACACTCATCCCAAATCCAACCCAATTTAGGGTTTAGGGGTTTAGGGTCTGTACTCCGCCAGCTTCCCAACGGGATTTGGGTGAGGGTCGCATTAATTCCTTCCCAGAAGCCCAAAACCACTGGGCCCCTAATCCCCGCTGCCTCAAAATGCGTCACGCCTGAACCCTAACTCTTGAGCCCCTCAAACTGCAAACCCGACCTAAACCTCAAAAGTACTGACAAAGGCTTTCAATCTGGGTATTTGGGAGGTGCAGGTAACCGGTAACCCCTGACTGTAGATACTGCAAATACGTTATATTCCCTAGAAATCCAAATGGATCAATGTAGGTGATGTTTACGGACTTATCGGCCCAATGCAGGCATAACCTGCCTCTGAATCTCTACATTGATATCATCTACAATATACCTAACCCTAAATCCTACCTAAACCCTAAACCCTAAACCCCTAAACCTCTAAACCCCTAAACCCTAAACCCCTAAACCCCTAAACCACCAAAAAGAAGGCCAAGGTTCCTGGAAGGTCAGATGCAGCTCATCACCTGGCTCCGGTCTTCTTACTGGGTGGTAGAAAAGGGGTGCTAGAGAGCACAGACGGAATGTAGGGGGATATCTAGGGGCTTTATAAGGGATTTAGGGCTTAGAGAGTAGGGAAGGAATGTGACATCACATGGAAAAGCACATGGAAACTACCACCCTAAACCCTAAACAGTGTTTTTTTTGCTTCACAGGGGGAGAGGGGGGGGGAGAATGGAAAAACCAATGCAAAAGCCAACTGGAAATCAAATAGAAACTGGGCTACAAAGGGGTTATGTGAGGATTTGCCGTGGGTAATACTCATTGTTTGTTGTTTAGGGTAGGCAGTTGAGAGCCACATGGAAAATTATGTCTTTTTAAGGGATATATAATGTAGCGTTTAGGGTTACGTGTTAGTGCTGAATGGGGAAGAAAGGGAAGGCACTTAAAAGAACATGGAGGCTACTATACAGTTCTTGATTGCATAGGGGCTACTATAGCAATTACATAGGGATCCATTCCTTCACTCCCTAGTGCAAAAGTTGAAAGGCAGCTTTGGGGACATCATATCTGCAATCCCCTAGACCTAAAATGAACAGATTGATTTTCAGAATTAATTCCTTAGGGTTATGGTAGTTTCCCCTAAATAGGGGCATCGCACTATGCACCCAATATCTTATGATCCTTACTAAGGGTGCCCCAAAAAGGTACCCCTAATTTTGGGAAGCCCCCTCACGCGATTGTACAAGTGAAAAAGTATATTCCGAAGGATTTCTGGGAGCTTAGAATTACAAACTTTGCGAAAGTTTGGCTCAGACAAAGTTCCTATTGAGGGGTTAGTAGAGAATAAGGGAATATATAGATATATACATGTATGTATATAACATAGGGTTATATGGCACTATATTGGGGGAACTGGCAGGAGAAGTGTTGAAAGGAGCTCTCATCACGAGTTACCGGAGTTTTTACGCAAGAGGGGAACGTAAGCCCTGATTTCCTGGTAGACTACTGTGTCCATAAGGCCATAAGGTTTATAAGTCAAAAGCAAAGTCGATAAGTCGGGTTTTCCCTGGGTTTCCTAGGAGAAACCGTATCGGGCAGTCTAAAAAGAAGCCGACCAATCACTGCAGATTTACGAATTTTCTGGAGTTCACGAACTAGCCATGGTTGATTGTGAGCGGAATGAATCAAAAGCTCGTAGTTTTGCTATATGAGGCTCCCTGTAACAGTACCTTTACAAGTCTTTCAAGACATGTCCGCCCAAACAAGCAAGAACATGTCGGCCGGAGGGTTATTGCTAAAGCATAAGCTCAAGCTTGGGGAAAGGGAATCCAAGGTATCGTCCCCCAAGAATTGGTAGACACGAAGGATGCTGGCTTGGTGGCCGGCCTTCTTTCTTTGGCGGCTTCTTGTGAAGAGCTTCCTTCCAAAGGGTTTATCTATCGTGGGGCTTTGATAGGCTTTCATGTGATGTGCGGGCTGCTCAAACTTGGGGAGGACTCTTGCAGATCTTCGAGACATATAAGAATTTACGAGGAAATGATGGGGGCATCTTTCAAGGGTTCTATCGCGATGAAACTCCTTTTTGAGGCTCCGCGCGCCCTACAACCTAAGGCCCTAAACCATAAAACCCTTGAACCCTAAACCCTAAATCACCTCGCCGGGCTTCCGTGCGCGTGCAGGACACCTCCCACTGCAAATGCCCCTTCTTGGTAGCTTCGCCGTGGACTCTATGAGCTTTATTCCGCGGCAACCCATTATTTGGGGTACCCTCTTCAATGTCAAGCTATGAGCTGAGGTATGTTATCAGCTGTTTGGGAGGGTATTCAGCGCTACCCAGATGTTTGGGGGTAACCTCCTTATTGTCCAGTTATGGAGCGAAGGCAGTAATTATCGAAAATACTAATACGATTACTGAGCCGATGCCAAGACAGAAACCCAGATCACACATGAAACATGTTTTTCATCTTTGTACCGAGCATAGAGGGCCATCCCCAATTATTTGGGTGCCATGTAAGAACTAGGGTGCAAAATCAAGCTGCGCTTGCAACAGAGATACCTGGCAACTCGATCAGAAAAAGAACCACAAAGACGAATCACGCTTTGACTCTTCTAAGAGTGTTACCCCGGCAGTTCATTTTACGAACTGCTGCGTACCCCTTGGAAGCGGACAAGACGCCCCGACAACACTCCGACTACACCACAACATTGGAAAGTCAAAGCACAAAACGGAACCTCCATCTCTTTTTCTGAGAGCGTGTGCGAATCTGACGAGAAGATATCCTTTCCTTGCATCGTGAGACTTCACACTGCTGTTGCTGTGACTACCGTGTCTACAAAGCCAACATGAAGTTGTTAGAGCGTCCCGGTCCAAGAACACAGACCTAGTTTGGGCGGTAAGTGCGTTAGAAGCAAATGGATGGGATTCCGCGGGCAGTCTCAAAAGCACGTAGAGTGCAAGCTGACGCTTGCAAGTCACAGTTCAACAGCACTTGCTGCACCTCGCAGACTGTAGGCTCGACAGATCTTCACTGCCCAAGACAGGTGTTCTATCTTAAATTGTCTGAGAACGACCCTCTATCTTTACTCCAAGGGTCTCTTGGCCCTCTCCCAGAGATACTCGTACTGGGCCACCCAGACCTGAAGCAACTCCAAGGCGCGGCTACCTGAAAAGATTTCAGACATACCGAAGGCAAAGCACGCCTGCTTTTACTTTTGGCCTGCCAGTCCTAGGGACGGTGCAACTAAGGGAAGCACATCGCAGCTGAACTTCCAGTCGTGACGAATCTCCTTGCAGATCCACCTGAGCTGCTTGCTGAGTACGAGAATACTTCTATCCAACAGTACTACGAAACTTTCTGGACAATAGCAAACTCAGCGACCAAAGAACTTGGTGGCAAAGGTGCTGAGTGAAGCACGTCGACTGCTAGGGAACAACAGTAGCTGCAGTAGTACAACTAGCAAAAGCCATGGCGATGGCGGTGGTCTCACCGTAATTCGTACAACGTGCCCGGCCATCACAGCAATGACATGTCAGCAACAAAAACAAAGAGGCTTACCGAACCCACCTACCCTCACCGCACGCGCTCCAGAACAAACCATGAACTCTGGCAAAGTTCGTGCACCTCAAAGACAACAAGATCTGCATGGTTCCAACCATAGCAGGACCAACCAACAAAAGAGAATATAAACGCTCACAGGGATTCTAAAGCTGCCCAGACACTTTAAAACGCTGAAGCAGAGCAACAGCATAAGGCCGAATGCTAGGCCCGAGATGACCATCCTTGCAAGTGCGGGGCTTCGAGGGATTCGGCAATTTCAGGGTGTGTATGTTTACTGGGACGTGTAAGTAGAATTTCTTCAACTACTAGTGGCTTTGCAAACTGCCTCATTCACGTCCCGCATTGAGACGTCTTCGCAAGGGTCCGAAGGTTCTGTCTCATGGTCAGCTACTAGTCTTGGAATGCTGTCATTCAGCTCCAGGCACCTACAACTAGGTGTACAGGGTGTCAAGCCGGAGGGTGCTTTCTCATGTGGATCCTTGTAGCAGGCACTCCCGAATGTATGGAATTAGGGTTTTAGCGTTTCAGATGTGGTAGTGCGGAAGTCATGGTGGCACATTTTGAGCCTCGACACCAGGTGACATTAAAAAGAACATGTTACCGCCTGAGGATGTCTCTATAGCAACTACTAAGTACCCATGTAGACCACACATAAACCTAGTTTTTGCTTCATCTTCTTTTCCGTTGGATTGTACATGATTGGGGGCCAATGCCTTAACGAGCACAGCTGCAGTCACTGGCTTCACTCTCAAACGCTGGTGAAGACCATCAGTAGCTCACTGCCGGCTGGAGCTGTTGAAATCAAACCTCCACTTATGAACAACTATAGCCATAACTTACTATAGTATAATATTTGTCTATGCTGTGTTATTATACACTATAAGCATTTTCATGTTCTTTTCCATTATTCCTATATTACGGGGTTATGGATTGGGTTTGGCCTTACTCAAATACAACAAACAATTGAGCCTAGCCACGAGCATACTGGACAAGGAACCCTCCTTTTTCAGGAAGCTAGGGTTTAGGGTTTAGGGTGAGTAATTACATGCTGACAAAGCCCTAGTACAGGCTCGGCGGAACAACACCTTCACCAACAAAACAGCTCGCCGAGGAGCCAGTCATGTGTGACGACAATGTCTTGCCATTCTCCGTTGACCCACATCTTGCCGTCACTCCTTCGCATGTCCAGGGGTAGGAAATGCCAAGGATACTTGGCATCTGCACATGAGGGGGTTTCCAAAAATGGAGCCACCAAAAGACACACGATTATCCTCTGTGTAGGGACCCAACGTTTTGGAACTCCCCAAATGCCTGTAGCCAAGGAACAAGAGCTGTTGAGCATGTTTGAGCTCAACAAAGCTGACGACAGTACATTACGGATCCGTGTCCATGATCAAGTTGGTCTCTTGCTGTCGAAAAAAGATCGCCCCCTGTATTAAGATAGCAAGGGGCTTCAGCATGACAATGACTCTGCAAGGGCTTTTGGGAACTCTCCAGGATCTTAGACCCGCAGACTGAGATTCGGAAGCTCCGTCAGAAGCAAAACAACTCCACAAGTATGTGGGTATGTTCCTCAGTCATGCGGCGGAAGCATTTGGCCAGTGCTTCTGGCCGACCAATGCTGATGCGTCCGAGGAGCACGAACATTGTCCCATCCAACGATCTCTGCGCCTCACCCAGATGCGCATACTAGGCAGACGTCTTGGATAGCTCCCAATAACTCACTCGAGCAATTGACAACTACGCGGCCCTGTGTGCACGCTGAACAGACTCATGATGCTTAGAAAGCTCCATATGCAGCTGCTATACACAGCTTGGCCCGACAAACTGGGGCCCAAACCAGCGGATTCAAATGGTTGCGGGAGAAGGCATTGTGAATCGCTGTCATGTACTCATTGCTCGTCATCGCCTTTCCGAATTCACCATTCCAGTAGAGGCAAGCACAAGAGCTACTGACATGGGAACGCCTTGCAGCACACCCAACAGGCAATGCCAGGCATATGGAACAATATGCAGCCAAAGCCACAAGGCAACATGCAGACTTTCCGAACAAATGTGCCGCGCGTATGAGACGACGCATGTAGCAAGTGAACGAGAATGAGAGGATGCATAAGGATTTCTGGGTTGCTGTTAAGGAACTTAAATTAAGTTACCATAATGGGTATATATATATATATGGTAATTTATAGGGTTTCCCCCATATAGTAACTTAATTTAAGTTCCTTAACAGCAACCCAGATTTTCCAACCTGTATGCCGCAAAAACCATCCTGTGTGCGGACTCACAACCCGACAGGAACCCTTATAATGCAATCTCAATTCCTAAGCCCTGGACTAATCTATATCATATACACCCTATTATAGTAGTTTCCATTCTATTTTCCATAATCCCAGTATATATAACCCCCCTTAGCCCCAATTCTTCTTGGCAGCCTTCTCTACAGATCAGCGGTTATATTGGGGTTATATTGAGTTCATACTGGGGTTCTACTATAACCCTTAGCTCCAATTCAGCTGGGCAGCCTTCTCAACAGACAGACTCAAGTTTGTCGGGTTCAGAGTTCGGGCTCCAAAGCTGAGGATGATGTACATGTTAACATTCCTGCCGAGGCAGAGGCCATTCTTAAAGGGACTTTACTGGGAACCCCAAACAGAAAATCACAAGAATATAGCGGGAATATAATAGGAATCTACCTACCAGGGTCCTTATATTCTATTATATTCCTGCTGAGGAAGAGGCCCATTTGCTAGGACTTAAGCAGATGCCTCAGGAAAATGAGCCCCCTCACATATATAATCCTGCTGATTTAGAAGCCACAATGTAGCACATGGGTGTGGTGCTGTCTAAAAATCATGGGTAGAAAGGTCGGCTGGTGCAAGAAAGAAGCTCTGAGTCTAACACCTTTCAGCTTGCAAAGCATAGGGTGTTATTTAGGGTCATGCGGGTTATATTGGGATAATGGAAAAGAAAATGGAAACTACTCTGTTTTTTGTTTGTGCAACCCTTCGGACTTTTCGTCTGCCTGGCTCGGCAAAGGGTTCTTACCCAGGTTTTACTACTCTTTAGGGTTTAGAGTTTAGGGTTTAGGGGTTGACAACAGCAGCGCTGACAATGGCAAGCAACCCAAACAATCAGTGAACTGCCCTGGAAAAGCGGTCCTGTACACCTCCTCACTGGCATACCAGACAACCACTGGTAAGCCTTCCGCAAATTTGCCCGCGGGCGTAATCGCGATCTCAGCCAGGGCTTTGGGGCTTGGGAATCTCGAAGGAGAATTTGTTGGTGCAAGCTCCCAGTCAAAACATGCAAATCCTTCCCGACCTGAAACCATGGGTTCCTGATAGGAAGCCACGCGGGGACAAGGTCAACTGACTGCTAGAATGCTAAGCATTTTGGGAATCAGCTGGCTTCGAGGAAGGGACTCTCCGGTTAGGGGCCAGTGTCTTGACCAAGACGTCTGAGTCATTGAGAAACTAGTCCCCGTCCACTGCAGGATGCGCTCTTGACCCCAGAGCTTGTTTGCTGGTCCTATGGCACGCTCTCTCTGCATGGTTTTCAACTTTTGGTAGCCCTTAGCATGCTGGGTAACTTTGGGGGCATGTGGAGGTTGGGCCAACAAGAAACAGCTGCGCAGCTTTTCAAAGCAACATCTCAGGTGAAGGTCTGCGTTCAGCATAGTCGAGACTTTCAAGCGACGAGCAGCGCCGCCAGAAGTAGTGAAAGGGTGGGTATGAGATCTCTACAGCTGCAGCAGAACACGCCGAACTGGGATGGAATAGATTTCCGGTACAATGCTACAAGCCTTAGTCAATAGAAAACCCCAGAACCACCATGACATGAACATGTACGGCCAAATCACTTGGCAGTGTTCAGCTTTGGAAACTCAACAGAACACGATGTGGCTTCAAGTTGAACCCTAGACCCTATGCCCCATAAGGCCTGACCCCTCCTAGACTGGCCCTTGAAAGTGTAAAGCTTTATCGGCCAAGGGTCCTGAGAAGTGAGGCTTTGAGCCAGGTTGTAAGCCCAGGGATCCTCTGCCAGGTTCAGGCTAAGCGTCTGGGGTTTCGGAAGCTTCTACAAGGCTTCACGCTGCTTTGTAGGACAGCTATGCTGGCTTCTAAAGTTTTAGCTTCCAGCTTTCAAGTCCGCAAGGTTTGTAGCCTTCGCCCATTTACATAGACAGTGGCAGCACCCTAAAGCTGTCCCTTGGGACTGGGCTTGCAAGGACATTCTGCAGCTCCATCAAGGTACCCGTCATGAGCAAGCCAAATGCATTAGGCATCTGAGGGGTCCCTGCATCAGCATTGGCCTAGCAGTGAAGGTGGTCATTGTTTCCGCTCTTGCACACTTTGTGTTGTTGTACATCATTGTTGCTGCTTTTACTGTTCTTCCTATGAGAACTTCAGGATTTTTCTTATTGCATGTTAATATTATTACTCTTCTGATAGAAGCCCCACTCACGGCGCTGTCATTGGCACAGTGCTCGGCTCCTACTGACGGCGGCGCAACCTCCGCACCCCCCTCAACAAGTCGTGCATTGCTACATTCGGTATCTTGCGGGTGGTCCTGCATGAAACATTCGTGGGATTCAGGCTTGGCATGGGTTGCTGACCCATCATTCCAAGAAAATGCAGTGCTACTGGGAGCCTGCTTGCGTATTTGCGGTTGTGTAACTTTACGTTTTTGCGAAGACATGTCGCCATGCTACTACTTTTCTACGTACTGCCATGATCCAGTGAGTGAGGCAAGCTGTTTGGCAGGCGTCGCATTAAGTCGTTCAGCCAACCAATTTTCATGAGGCCAAAGAACCAGGAACGCAGTCCCTTCCCTCATTGCTTTACTTGAGCAACCTTGACACAGCCCACCAAATGCCCTCAATCTGCAAATCCTACCCAAGTTTCAACCCATGATATTTGACCTACATTAAGCACTCAGCCTGAACAGGGTCGCTGAAAGTAACTGATGGTCTTGTCATCATCTAGACTCTGGCAGAAAGACCTGCCTGCACCTCCACCTGCAAAGGGCAGCTGTAGTCCTTTCAGCAGGGCAAGGTCTTGAGAACTCACTCGGGGAACCCTAAACCCTCAACCCTAAGCCAGGTACAAGGGAGGCATTTGGCTTTCAGGCTTGTCTTCAGAGAGGCTGAGTGAACAGGATTCAGGGTTGTGGGTCAACGTGACGGATGGGTTTCGGCTTTGGGGGTTTTAGCGTTTAGGGTAGGAATAGAGTTTGTATGTTGTTGCTGGCCTGGCAGACAGACCCTCGGCCTCCAGACTGGACGGTGCAAAACCAGTCTTCCACTCAACCTCTTCGTGCCAGATCCCTGCAGTTTGAAGCCCCGGCCCATCACAAAACCTTTTCCCGATGTTGCTGCACCACAAAGTGCTGAAGCTATATTACTTTTGGAGGAGGACAAACGCATGTGGTATCCAGATTATGCAGCACTTTAATCAAGCAATCACATGTTGGAGGAACTTTAAGAAGCGCAGAGCCCTTCAGCTGAACCCCAAACTTGTTGTAGCTGTTAAGACGGAACTCCCATCATACAGGTACAATATGCAAACTTCGGATTACAACCCATTTTGTCTCCCATGCTTTGCCAAATTGTTACGACACGTATGTTCACATACATCATGCAGCTGATTGCTACAGCACCTGGAAACATACCCTCCGCCTCTTCGTCTACCACGGTGCCGTTCCGGCCAAGGACTCCCGTCGTGGGACGTGCGGCTTCAAGCCACATACCACCAAACCTTTGCACAACAAGGGTCTCAACTGACTTGCGGCTCCTCAAACTCAAGAGCCGCGCCTAAGTATTTATCGCTTAAGGTTGGACTTTCGAGAAATTAGGTTTCGTTGTTGGGAGTCCGCATCATCATGATTGTAGGATGTGTGGGTGCATCAGAAGAACTCGTGTTCATGAAGCTGTAGGGAAATATACTTACCAACACCATTTCGACGTTTATATGAGGTACCCTATCCCATTAAACTACAACGGATCTAGCACCATACGTATCCCTATAAACCTCCAAACAGGTTAGGGCAGCCAAGTTGTTACTCGGGCCCAGGCTCAGCGGCTGTAGATATGGTGTCGGGTTTAGGGAATATTTTAAGGTTTAGGGTTTAGGGGATGTATTAGAGTTCAGGGTTTAGGGGGCATATTGCGAGCACTAATGTTGTCTACAACGGTGGGTATAAGGACCGGTGGACATTACCTGGTTATAACTTGGCCTTTCCCTACCTAGCGTAAACTACCAGCTATCTCCAGACTGAGGCTGTCAGCAAGGATTGGTTGCTTCAAACATATGATTAAGTCCCAACAAGACCCATTTAGTTCCATCCGTCAATGGTCTCCATGATGTTTCGATACAGTTCCAAGAATAAAGTCTCTCCAAGCCCTCAGCTGATCAGCTGGCCATGCGATGATGCGAAACCATGTAAAACCATCCCTGCGCCAAACGCAACACAACGTCCGAGCGTCTCTGCAGCCCGTTACACCCGGAGTAGGTGACATAATTGCCACCCGCAGTCCCCGCAACCCCACTTAAATCCTCTCAAGGGCTCTTGTTTGCACATAAGTCAGCTTAGAGACAAAAAATATACCCGGCTGCTCACACAGAAAATGTGGCAAGTCACGTAGCTCTTATCAAAGCGTTGCCCTTGTCTGCCTGCAGTCCAAGCATCTGCACGCACAGCCAAATCTGCAGCCACAGCAGGCCAGCAGCAGCCGAAGTGAATATGAGGATACGAAGAAATGCCAAGCACCTCTTCTGGCCACCTGGTGTTCATAGAATGCATCTCTTCTTGCTTTGGTGGTAGTGGTAATGGTAGTGGTAGGGGTGGCTGTGGTGGTGGTTGTTGTGGGGGTCGTCTTAGTTTGTGGTGGTAGTGGTAGAAGTAGAGGTAGAGGTAGAGGTAGAGGTAGTGGTAGTGGTGGTAGTAGTAGTAGTAGTAGTAGTAGTAGTAGACGACTTGTTGCCACTATGGGCGAAGTGACGACAAGCAGCAAGAATCACTGGAGAAATAGTCAAGGGCAGAATTTGAAAACATGCCACCGCCCACAATCACGAGGATTCGTCTTTCGTCCGTGCTTGGGGTATGTAAGCCATATCAGAAGCTTTCACGGGAGGACCATTGGCTGGACCCTTCCACGGGACTTCAAAATATTATCTAAGCACCGAAAGTGGTGCTCCCAAACAAGGGCTTTCCCCAGAAGGGCAGTTTTTGCAAGGTTCTTGCATGATGCCGGGGAACTGGTCACAGTAGGACTCGAGGACAAGATGGGGACCCCTTCGACGAGCTTCAGCCGCCTTGCCTCCATCTGGTCCTTGCGCTCGCATCACAATATCTCAAAAACATGTGAGCTATAGTCTTAACTCCTAGTATCCCCCTTAATAACCCCTGTAGTAGTCCCCTATATAATCCCCTTTTAGGAGTTTAGACTATAGCTCATGTCTTCAGGGTTACCCCTCGCAAGGAGCCGGCCCGGGGGTGGGTAGAGAAAGGGCCTTGGTACGCCGTCACATCCAAACACGTGCACAACTGCGAGAGCACAGCAATGGTAGCGTGTGTTTGGAGTACTGTGCGCTTGCTGAGATGCTCGTGACCATCTGACCCTCCCAGCATGGGATGCCAGACCCCATAAAGCCTACAATCCTCATTTATTTGGATATAGTCCCCCTTAAGTAGATACAGTACAATATGGCTTTGGGTATACTATAATAAGATCCCCATATACACCATATTCTATCTACTTAAGCGGGACTATACTCATAAGCCTATCTATCTAGGGGTTTCCCTTAAACAGGGGTACCATTTGGGTTTCCCCATAATGAGGACTAGAGTACTTAGGAGTCTATATTGGGGTTCCTCTGAAGAATTTGAAGGCACAACAGCCCATCCTGATCTGTTAAGACAGGCCTGAACCTCAGCGGCCTGATCATCGGTGGCAAGCAGCCGTCCTTCCTGAGCTTGAAAGACACAGCACATGGGGTATTGCTGAAACACGTGTCTGTAATTGTGTGACAGTTGATGCAAAACAGCTCAGGAATTTGCAGTCGCTAAAAGGGAATAAGACGTCATACTTTACTTGGTGCGCACAAAGCAGTACAGAAGTCAAACTGGCTTAGCTTCAGAATATCAGTTATGCAGAGTGTGAAAAAGGTACCAGGAAGGATCTCTGTTGCCGAACTGCAGGGCTCGTTCCCTCCCCTACCTTCATGGCTCCCCTGCAAATGCTGTCACACATGCCGACATCTTCACGCACTAAAGAGCTGTAAAGAAACAAACAACACTCATCTTTGCACCCTGAGCACACAGGGTACTACGCTCCCCACTGTCAACGCATGCGGTGCCCTGCATGCTTCTCTGTCTATGTACTTGCGCGACGTTCTCAACATACACGCTTCCTACAGGCTGGATTATAGCGCTTCCCAGCGCTTTTCGCGCCTGATGAGGAACTCCCCTTCCTTACTCAGGACTATTCACCTCTTTTGCCTTCTGTGGGAATCTTCCATGGTCTGCGTTCTGTTCTGGGGACACCAAGTCACACGCATTCTGGCGGCCGGCGGGTGGGGAGGCGGTCTTGAGCCGTCAGAAACTTGCGGCAACAGGGTTGCAAAGCTTCATGCTCCAGCGTGCCCTGCGCTCAGGGTTGAAGAGTGCCTGTACAGGCAGGATGTGTAGTATAGTAGTTTCCATTTTCTTTTCCATTATCCCTATATAATCCCTATATACCCCTATAAAACCCCTATATAACCAAAACTTTAAGGATTTGGGACTGCATGCCAACAAACCACCGTCTATGACTTCTATCCCAAGGCCAGCCTGAGGCCCAGGGGAGGGTGAACACGTCCCACCGTAAAGTCCCATAACCCCAAACCACCTGAGGAATTTTATTGGGGGAAACCAGGATCACACCAAAACTCTGCACGACGCTGCTCAGAGTGACAGGTTTCATGATGCTAGTACCTCTTGCCCACCAATAACAAGAAGCTTTACCTTCGCGCCTCAGGGTTGTACATGTGCAGTTTAAGATGCGCACAGCAAGACTCTAGGTTCTTCAATGTTTGGTTTGGATATCCCACGTGGTGGTCACTACTGGGGCTTTGAACATGACTCAGCCGACAAGATCTGTTTTGCGGCCATGTCTCGCCACTGTAGCGCTGGACAATAGACCATAAACTCGAAAGCCTGTATCCTACAACTTCACTCCAGTGGACTGAAGCCACCCATGCCTCTCCTGACTTGTTGGGCTTTGCGGTTGACTCCGAATTTATCTAGACACCCTGCGGTGAAAGCTGCAAACAGCGCAGCTACTTCCAACTAGAAAGTGTCAAATTGGTCCATCATGTGGGGATTGTCGAAATTATGCTCCCACTTTTGTGTCACGGGCCTATCATACTACAAAAGGACCACAGTTGTGATGTGAATCTGGAACCCTCACCGACGCTCGCATCCTTTTGCGCACGCCACGTCTGCAGGAAGGACTCCCAGCCCTCGAGCTCCGAAATGGCAGGGTTTAGGGTTAGGGGTTTATACTATATAGGGATTAAGGGGTTATATTAGGGTTAATGGGTTATATAGGGTATTTATAGGGGTTATTTAGGGATAATGGGAAAGAACATGGACACTACTGTAGTATGTTGGGGTTATTAAGGGTTTAGAGCTTAAGGTCTTTCATCCTAAGCAAGGATATTGCACGAGATTGAGGTTGGGGTTTGCAGTGGCAGCCGATGAGGCCTTCTACCAAACAGATGCGTGCTAACAGTGAACAGTCTCACACAGCAGGATCCTGCCCTTCTATTACCCACTACGTCTCTCCAATCACGCTGCCTGGAAGGGGAGAAGAGGATGGAGGCTGTCAATTTGCTGAAAGAGCTACTCAAGTCGCTAAAGCTTCCGACGGTATCTTGGGCTCGCTCGCATGGAGATGCGTGCCCAAGTGCCTGAGCCGTGAACAATCAGCATCATCGCCCATCAGGATCTATGCGTTCGACGTTTTGGGCAGGTGTACGGTAGCAACCAGCCATTCAAACTGCATGGAAAGAATTGACTTGTGGAAAAAGGGACCGAGGTGGTTTGAAAGCGGAGTTTCTTGGAGCAGCCTGGCTGAAACTTGCATCCCCCCATCTCAGCCCCATAAAGCCTGCCTTTGTGCATATTTACTCTTATGCCTTCAGGTTTCTGCATGCAGCTCTGTCATAGGGCGGGTGTACCTTTACAAGCAGTACGCCTGAACCCATGCCGACATTTTCGTAAACCTTGTCCACTCACAGACCTACATGGTTTCCCGCGGGGCCTTGAGCTGCTCAAGTTCAGTCAAAGTTTCCAACAAACACAACTCCTCCCTTACTTGGGCTGCCACGGGCGCAGTACGAGGACCTCGGTGGTAATCAGGCGTGCAAAACATGGCCAAGCTGCTGTCCAATTAGCATGACTGCCATTGTTATTATTACCACTGCTGCTATTGGCCGTGGTCTGGCACGTCATTACGCTTGCGTACGAGTATGGTTTCTGGGCAGAGAAGCGCTATGTCTAATCACCGGCTCGTTCGGGCGCTTTCATGTTCCCCATTATGGGTCTTCAAGCTGAAGGTCTCTCGGGGCGAACGTGGTGGGCTATCCTAATCCTGAGCTCTTATGATTATTATTCCTCCTACTACTACTACTACTACTACTACTACTGTACTTGCTATTATTAAGCCCTAAACCCTAAACCCTATTACCATTAATACAATCCTGAGGGCTTGAGGGCATTGTACCAGGGCCCTGGCGTATCTGCCCGGCAGCAGGCTGAAGGCAAAGGCTCCTTGGAAGGGTCCATCTTACTGGTGGTCAGTGGGGAATAAGGGAAGATATAGTCCCCCCTAAGTAGATAGAAAATAGCTTTGGGTGTATTATAATAAGATCCCCATATACCCCATGTTCTACTTAAGGGGGAATGTAATTATCCCTATGTAACCCATAGATCCGTACATTCGAATGGCTTACTGGTGTTTAGTAGGGAATACGATTAAACAGCATAATGTAATACTTTAAATTACCTAATTCCCTGTCAACCACCAGTGAACTATTCTCCCCTTGCGTTCAGGATCATATCCGCCTGCCAGTCATGCAATCACCCTGCAGTCGTTGAAGATATCGTAAGCTCCTTCGAGCACCTCACTGGAGCAGACCCCGAACGTAGCACGCCCCCCAGAATTCTTCGTCAACTCCTTGCGTAGAGGAAGAATATGAAACGATGCACCCTGATCAGCATTCAAGAGCGTGGACGAGCAAAAGGAGCTCTGAAAAAATGAAATTCGTGCCCCCGAAGCGCGTCGTTGACCTGTCCTACTTTCTCTCCTGGCACCCAGTTGCACTTCTGGGGATGCTTCTAGAACTCCATCCGAAACAACTCCTTCTTGCGTACCACTCCAAGTTATCATGGGCGGTTACCAAACCATTGCAAACCATTGCAAACCATCGCAACCTTCTCATGTGATGTAAGGATTATGTTGTGGTCCACCTCACAAGACACCAGGTTCAGCTCACCAAAATTCTTCCGGAACCATGTTGACACTCACCAAATCCGTGCCAGAAAGCCCCGCAGCATATCACCTTCCCTAGATATCCCAAAGCGATACAGCATCTAATCCACAAAAAAGGACTAGTAGCTGCCAACTGCTAAGCCTAAACCCCCACAGACTAAACCTTGTACACCCCTGACACCATACAACCTAACACTCTTAGCTCTAAACCACGAAGCCCAAAAAATTAAGGAACTTAATTTAAGCTACTATATTCGGGAAACCCCCTATTATGTACTATATATACCCACTATGGTAACTTAATTTAAGTTCCTTAGCAGCAACCCAGAAAAGCCTGGTCTACTGATGACTTGGGTCCCTGCTTCAGGCCGTCGCCTCCGAGGAAGCCTGCTGGAATGGAAAAGACAATGGAAACTACTATAGTATAATAGGGTTATATTGGGATAATGGAAAAGAAAATGGAAACTACAGATATTATATAGGGTATATATAGGGATTATAGGGTTATATTGGGGTTATGTTGGGATAATGGAAAAGAAAATGGAAACTGCTATATTATAATAGGGTATATATTAGGGTTAACTATGTTGTTTAGGGTTTTAGGGCTTAGGGATCGAAATGGGCAAGACATGAAAAACTGTGATTGAGGTTCCCAAAAAGTTGGGGCCCCTGTGCTACTATTTACTTCATCATTTGGACTTCCGCACAAGGACTCCAACTTTTAGAGCTCCCTCCCCGCGTGTGTTGAGGTTGCCAATGCTGTTCCTGACGTTACATTCTACAACATGGTTGCTGTCTTGCAGGCTCTCCAAAAACGAAGCGATCCCGCATTGGGAGCCACGAAAGTTAAGGACTGATGTAGGGCCTAAAAACTAGAAAAGGATGTTGAGCCATATTATATTACAATGCTACTGGGGGTATGAGGGAATAATCATGGTAATTATTGAGGCTTCCACGGGATCCTCATCTTCAGCCTTAAAAAAGAAGACGCATTTGGGATATTTTGAGGGGAGTAGCTCCAAGAGGGGTGTAGGAAAACGCTACTGCCGTGTCTAACTCCGCAGGCTGAGTTCGCCATCAACTCTGTCATCCGTACATAAAATCCTTCACTGGCAGTCAAGCATTTTATGGAAACAGCTTTTCAGAGAGTGGCATGGCCGAGCTGTTCTACTACGAGGTCAAGGATCTGCTTTTAGCTTTGCCGACTATCCGTTCTGCTAGCTCATATCACCACAAAGCCAACACTGCCGACTATTGCCTGTCTGAGTGGTTGAGGTGCATGCTTCCGATGCATCTGATACAGTAAGTACTGGCAACATAAACCACGTGAAACCGTAGAGCATGGTACGTCACATCTGCTAATTAGAAAACAACTCTGTAAGCTCCATTCAAGGAACGCCCTACTGAAATTTATCCAAATGAGCAACTGCTCAAGTTCCCTGCCTCTCGCCCTCAGGGA